GGGGGTGAGTAGAAAATGAAGGCTAATCATGTTTTGGGTGTACTATTCCTTTAAACAGCAGGTCATAACAGCTAAAGAAGGGACTGAATCATTTTAAGACAGCAGTGAATAAAAGTGTTTTAGTGTTAATTTTGGAGAAGCAGCCTGTAACATTGAATGTGTTGAACTAATTAATTTGTTTATGTTTATTATAAACAGCTGATCGTTTGCCAATAAACCCAACCTGCAGTGCTGGCTGAAAAAAGAAACGTTGAAGTGTGTAAAAATACCTTCTTCAGGTTTTTCCAGCTGCACCATCTCCTCTTGCTTCCTCTGGTTATTGTTGGAACAGATTCGCATAGAGCTAAGCTGAGTCTGTGCCGTCAGCATTATGGAAATGACCTTGTAAAGTGACTATACCAGCATGCTGAATAAGCCTGCCTAATTTAGTTGATTTCTTTGTGTGTGTGTGTGTGCAGACCCCACCACCATGGTGGAGCTGTGGAAGGAGTCGCCCAAGGGCTTGGTCAAAGAGGGGGATACAGTGGAGCTACGTTGCCAGGGTGATGGCAACCCCCCGCCGCTCTTCATTTTCAGCAAGGAACAAGTAAGAATGGAGCGACTTTTCTCGCCCTGCGAGACCCCGACAGAGAATGAGTGACACACAAGAGACATGCAGAGAATGTTTTTGATATGCATAGCTCTCAGGGTCCCGTGCAGACATGAGTGCGGAGGGTCTATGAGGACTCTTGTCAGCTCTGACCCTGCAGATCCAGACTGGGGTCTGAGACCGGAGGCCACATCGACGGGGCGTATGAGTGGGGCGCGTTCCCATGTCAGACACACATTCATTGTGTCTTTGGAGAACACAAAGCCTCAGCTGACTGCTGTCTGAGCGTTTCCTAATCAGTGTGTCGACAGCCGTGTTACTGGTTGTTCAAAACATGACGCAAGAGACTAATTCAGGTGTCACGGACTACAAAGGGAACAAGCTCCTGAAAACAGCATAATATTTAGACTCTTGAAAGACCTTTTTGCATCAAGACCATTTACTGTAATAGGAAACAGCAGTTTGCTATACTGTTAGCTTTGTTCAAATTGAGATGCTTACTAATTTCGACATTCCTTCCTTTCTGGGAAACAGTAAAATCAGCAATCAGTAAAGATGACAGTAGGTGGAACAAAAGGTCAAGAAGGAAACTATTATATTCTCAGCTTTGCTTAATTTATGCTTTCTTTCTTGATAGAAATAAAATACATAGATTGGCTTCTGTTTCGTGAGAAAATTCAGGCAATCAGGAAGGTTCACTGTCTGCAAAACATTTTCAGAAAATTTGTTTTATGATTAATGTCTAAATTTTATTTGTTGCACCAACATTAATCCTGATGTTAACTAATGTGTTTGGTTGTTTTCTAGGAGCCAGATGTGGTGTTGGAGAGCAGAGGTGATGTGTTGATGCTGCCCACTGTGTCTCGGAAAGACAGCGGCATCTACCAGTGTCGGCCGCTGGACTCCGTTGGACAAGCTGTGAAAGGAGAGGTCCAGCTCACTGTGCATTGTACGTTGGAAGATCATTCAAGCTCATACACTAGGATCAATGATTCTGTAGTGTTTATACCCTTTAAAGTTCAACCTTTTATGCTAGACTTGGTTGGAAGAGGTGTAACAAATGAATTCATACCTGCACAAAATGTCTAAGTTTAATCTAAGTTTCAACTAGGGATGCACGATATAATCGGCCCCCTATCGGTATCGGCCTTAAAACTGAATATCGGACATCGGCCACCCCACCAATATTTAACCCGATATTTGATCAGCTTCTGAATTAAAAAAACAAAACAAATACTACTTCTTCTTCT